CATCATCTCCCTTCTCCTCCTTGTCCTCTTCTTATTATTATTTTCTTTATTGTCATCTCTGTTTGCATCTTCTTCTTCTTCTTCTTCCTCTTCCCCTCTCGCCCCTCCATCTTGTATGTAGATGTATGTACTTCTCTAATAGTTATGAATGCTTTATAAATGTGTATGGCCTTTCGTTAATCTTCTGTGTCTTGTTCACAAACTTATGGTTGGACCTTTGTGCCACCTTCTATGTAGATGGGAAAACGTGCTCCACTTATAAGTGTTCTCAATTCTAACCTCTTATGTTCAAGTTTGATTGTTTCATAAAGAAACGGCATCGGTTTCAATAACAATGAAGTATGTGCGTGTTTTCTGCAGATATATATCGTCACAAACAGAACTGCCCGGTAAACCGTAGGCAGAGAGAGAGAAGAGGACAACAAACGAGGGGCTGTGTATATATGCATAATAAATATACTACTAAAGGAAACAGCGGGTCTCGAGTGACACCCCGGGCGAGACCCAATCTCCAGTGTTGGGAACCTGGGCGGCAGCCGCTGCAAGGGGCGCAAGCGGAACCGCCCAGGACCCAAAGAGACTCGAGGGGGTGAAACGCGAACAGGGTCGAGAAGGGCCGAGGGGCAAAAACCCGTTGGTCAGCTTAAAGAACGTGGAGGGCCAAAAAGCGGACGGGGTCGGGCGGGGCAACGAAGCCGACCGAGGCCAAGGCCCGAAAAAAGAACCCACGAAGGCGAGGTGAGCAAGGGAGCAGATAGACGTGGACAGTTGAGCAAGGGCGAGGATGGACGTGGACAGCTGAGCGGGTCTCTCTCAAGGACTGAGGAAAAAGGCATGTCAAATACATGAAAGTGTTGGAAATATCTTTCAACATGTATTGGACAAAATGAAGAAGTCTTCAGCAATGTTGGTCCAAGCAAGAGCATGGACGATTGTGTTGAGATCCTCCCTCCCAAAGCGAAACTGGAGATTTTGAAGAGTGCTTCGAGTTCATCAACTCACAGTGCAAAACTTGAACAATTTGAGTCAATGACGACCAAGCTCGCCGAGCTGAAGGCGGAGATGGCTAAACTACCGGGTGAAAAGAAAAGGGGAAATGGGGTGATTATCATGTCTAGCCCTCCAACTGTTGTGACAGGCAAATAGAAAGTCGACTCGGGTTCTATACTCGGGGAAAACAGATGAGGAAAGGAATTGGAGGCCAGGAGCAGGGAATTATTGGAGAGGGCATAGAAGGTGAAGGAGAGAGTGAGGGAGTTCAGAGAGATGAAAGGCACCATCACGCGACTGGTTAATGTCCCTCCCCCTATCGCGTCTCATGTTATCCAGACCAACCCCAAGTCAGCCCCTGATCCCACCCCATTCTCCTCACACCCACCCCATTCTCTTCACACCCTCCCCCAATCACGATCTCCACGAAGAAAGATAACCCCGCTGCCTTCAAATTTCCTTCGCCTTCCCAACCCTCCCAACCGACTTGCACCCCTTCT